AATGTGCAAAAAAGTGACCCTCAAAAATTCATACCAGTTTTTTAAACATTGTTTGAAGCTAAATGTGACAAAATGTTGCTGTTATTTTCAGCATGAGCCGCTTTACAAACGGCACCCCATAATCAACTACCAAGAATAGATATCATAAGGTTTTTATGTTACAAAATAGAACAATGTGTATGTTGTTGTTTTTTAAATTAGGCAAATAAAGTTCACATGCATTAAAAATGAAATGTCACACACTCACACGCCAAGATTAAAAAAAAAACCCAGACAGAGCTTTAAGATACAGGCATCACATTGGATTCGTGTATCTGGCTACCTGGAAAAGGCATGGCCCTTTTTTATTGAATGGTTAAGCTGTTTGCATTTGAAAGCCCTTAGATGTGCTCAGACAACCTTCAAGCCCAAAATTATTTTGCCAGTTTTATTTTAGCACAACTTAATTTGCTAAGCTTTTAAATGCTTGCTTGCTCACATGTACTTGTACTTACACACAATGTCCCACTCCTTGTTTTCTCCTTGTCACATATAAAAAATCCCTTTATTAATCCTAGTTTTGTGTGTATTTTTGGTTTTGTTTGTTTAGGTGTCGAGGATAATCCGGACACCTGGAGGAAATGCCTTGTTGGTAGGCGTTGGGGGTTCTGGCAAACAGAGCCTGACCAGACTGGCCTCGTTCATAGCTGGATACAAGTTCTTCCAGATTACTCTCACACGGTAATGCTAGCATGCAATACACACACACAGCAGTTATTCCTTAATTCTTCCTCAATCTTAATTATAACCTGATGATAATATCAATTTTGTTTTGCTTATCATGGTCTGGCAAGGTGTACAGGCTGAATTTGCGGAAGAAAGTAGGCTGTATAAAAGATGATTGACAACTGCTCTGACATTAACATGAACCAATCACACATGCATGCTCTACGCTGGGCTGCAATCATTCTTTTGATTTCCACACTCAAATGTTCCAGCTGCTTTGGAAAACTCAAGTTTCTCCTAATTATCCACCATCATCGACGTGGAGTGTCCTGTAAACACTGACCACCTAACTGTAAGGAGCCTGAGACATCTTATCATAAACCCTGCATCACTGAAAAAGGAGGAATAAAACTGGGGTTCACTTGGTCTACCATTAAAATATATAACCGTTTGTCATCTGTGCATCCTGTGTTGTCAAGAAAAACTGCTGAAAAATTGTACTGGAAAAGGATTGTTTAAAAAGAGTGGGGACCCAGATCCTGTATTTGAGGCAAGAAATAAGCATTGCAGAATTATGCAGATACATCTTGATATCTTGTATCCACAACATATTGTTGTTCACAGTCCATGGGATTTAGAAATCTGCCCATACTCTGCTGGTTGGTCTCCCAAGCCCAATCAATTATTTCAATGAAATTAAATTTAATACAATGCAGTTATTTTCCAATAGAATTACCCTGTAATATGCAATATCATCAATTTTCTGATCAAATTGTGCTGTAGAGTAAGAAGCAAGCTATGTTGCAACCACAATATCTTTCCATTTTGAATTTGGTTAAACTTAAATAGTGTCTGTTAATAATGTTTAGCAAAAAGCCTGCCACTCCTGGTCTCTTTGCAAATATTTAATCACCATAGAAAAAACTAAAACAAATCATACCCACCCTTGAAAAAGAGTATAGTGGTTTTGATTTGAGTGTTCTGTCTCAGCTCTGACATTTTAGAAAGATTCATCATTAATCTTTCAGGAGCATTAATCAGAATTAATTAATTGCAGGGACAAGATACATTTTGAAAGAAAGTGAAAGGATATTTATTGTATATTCTCTTTGCAGCTCTGGCCCTTTGTCTTTGTGAAGCAATATCATTGTTTCCTCTGAGACTCTTTAGTGCAATTGTTTCATCAGAATAAGAAAAACTCTCCTTTGCTTCAACCGTGTTATTTGTCTCTGCTTGCTCTGTCCTACACTTTGTCTGCCTCATTGTTCTGTGTCTCACTCTGGCCTTTCTCTCGCTCTCCCAGCGTGTCATCCCCCCCCCCNNTTCCAGTGTGCATTTGTTGCTGTCATATTTCCCATCTGCTCTTTTCCTAACAGATTTTAGTGTTTGGTATTAATATGAATGAGCCTTGTGTTGCTCCTCTAGGCTGAACAGCTCTCTCTAGAGAAAACAGGCACCTTGATTTTTTTCTACAGTACAGACACAGTTGCCTATCTAGTACAGTTATGTCTCTTTTTCATGTGCAGCCTGAATTTGACTGACCTAAAATTTCTCATTGCTTTCATGTAAACTATCCATTTAATGTCATTTTAGCTCTGTTACTCTCTTGCTAGATTTTTACGCATTTAGTTTCCAACCCATGTTTCTAACATGTTTTTATTATTATTTCTTCCACCCATTAATGTCCCATTTTCACACCCTCACGCCCGATTTTTCACTCAAGTTCACAACACAAGTACACAAAAACAGATTGAGGCACATGCTTGCTTCTTTACCACCTTTCAAGCCAGAAATCAATTAGTCTGTTCATACTTGCAACTGCAACTATCCAAATAAATACATTCACACAGAGCTCTGTTCCAAGGCGGCAAGTGATTCTATCACCTATTTTTTCTAAGTGTCTTTAAGTTCCTAGAAAAGCACTATATAAATAAAAATAGATAAATAAAATTGATTATTATGATTATTATAATGGATTATTATTATTATTATTATTATTATTATCATCATCCAGTTTTTCATTGCAACTCACTATAACGTACATCCATATGCAAAGCCAGGTTTGCAGATCACTGTTCAAAATGTAATCATAAAAAATTAAGGGATGACTTGTGTTATGATTATCATATTCGAGTGAAGCACCATGCTGTATATTTTAGCAATGCACTGAACCCTGCCTCTGACATGGATGCCACAACGGTCAGAAAGAAATGATTTATAACTGCCCACTGTGATGGCGCCCTGAGTTCAAACAGTACATCATTCCTAACTCAAACAGCATCATTCACACAGTCAAATATATTCAAATACACATACACACCTCTGCTCTGACAATAGCAGAAACTGTAAAAGACATCTGTGCATATTTATTTTAATGCATTCTTTTCTTTTCCAGCTCATACAACACAGCCAACCTGATGGATGACCTGAAGGGTTTGTACAGAACAGCTGGCCAACATGGCAAAGGCATCAGCTTCATCTTTACTGACAATGAAATCAAAGACGAGTCCTTCCTCGAGTACATGAACAACGTCCTGTCATCTGGAGAGGTCAGGAGCACACATGGAAAAAAGACACAAAAACACACACACATGCATGACTGCATGCTTATATTAATATAAACTTATAGTTAATGTGAACTTGTTAGATGTGTGAAATACATTTAACAAGACATTTAAAAGCAGCTGAGATTCTCTGGGAGTTTAATAACTGAAGGGGCCTCAAAGCAAAATGTCTCTCTTGGTTTGGTGCTGTGAACAAACACATGAATCTTCATTCTGGCTCATAGGGAACATACCGGAGATATTGTGCAGGTCAGCAATAGGCCATCTGTGTTATCTATCTATCTTAAATATTAGCAGTAAAATGCATTTCCAAACAGACAGGCAGGACAAGAACCAAAGGTATCTGCAAAACTAAAAAGACATGCAGATACATTTTGGACCAGCTGAAGGTGAGACAGTCAATTGTACAGCACAGGAAGTTACAAAGTTACAATAGTTTAAATATAAAAAAGTAAAAGCATGAGCAACTTCCTAGATAAAGAGTCTTACTTATCAGTGCAATTTACCAGAGACCTGTAAAGCAAGTAAAAAACCGCTCCTGTCTTTGCCTAAATTGATGAATAAGAGTGATACCCAGAAGAACAAAACCCCAGATCTATCTAGCTCCCTTCACACAAATGTGTTTTTCTGATTAATTACATTTTGCTAAATTCAGTGGCACATCTGTGTTTTTATGGCAGTTTCAATAATCAACACTTTATTATGAGGAAAGCTTACTGTGGATACACAAAGCAGCTGCTGACTCAGATACTTACATTGACATCATCTAGTTTTTCCAGCACAAAAGCTTCAATTATACTTTAGTTGCGCTGCTGAAACTGACAGCTGGCATACGCCCATGTGTGAAAAAAACATTTCATGACTGTGACGCCAAGGCAGCCGCAGCACAGACCTAGACGAGAGAAAACCATGTAGTCTCCATCTGGGTTATGAGCAGTGCAGTTTATTTCAATTCTGTCAAATTAAAAAAGCAAATTGCATTTTCCCTGTCAATACGATAGCATTTCACAGTTATTTTCTCATCGATTTGGATGTTAAAGTGAAGCTGTAACTGACAGAGCAGACAGATACAGCTAGGTCTTCTCTGTACTGCAGTACAGCTGCATAATGCCATTTCTTCTATTAATCTGCAACAACAGCAGTAGCATAGGGTAGCAGCAAGTATCTTCAAGGTCAGGTGCCACTGTGTTCACATTTCTCAGCTGCAGTCCCAGCATCATCCACTGTACTGGATCCAGTAGCTCAGGTGTCATTGGGGTAATTACAGCATGTCCAAAGCACTTTTCTCCGCTCTTTAACTAACTATCCTCTTCACGATCCTCTTCTCCCTCTTCTTGTCTTACTTGTACGTCTTTCCCTGCTCTTTTCCTGCACACCACACCTACTCCTCTTTTTTGTTATTTTCCTCATCCTTTTCTTCTCATTATCCAACTTTCCTCCTGTTCTGTCTCCATTTTCCCTTGTTGCCCTTTCTTTCCCTTCCTCGCCTGTCATTCGCACTTCTTAGTCCTACTCTTCATTGATGTCCTCTTCGTCTCCTCCGCCCTCCTTGTTCTCCTGGTTATTCATGTGCCTCTCTTCCATTTCATTCTCCTCCTCTTTGCTTTCTTCATCTTCTTTACCTCCTTTTTCTCCTCCTTCTTCCTAACTGTTGTGATTAGTATTTGAGGACAGTGCTATAAAAACAGTACAGCAATGACTTCAGCACCAAAGATGCCATCACAATAAAATAAAAATGTACCTATGAATGGCTACTCTTAAAGATGAAAGAGTGGAAAGAGTACTGCACAGTGCAAGACCATTCAGGAAACTTTGGTATAAGACAACCAAGTGAACAAATTATGTATTATTTATTTTACACATGCCTGATTTCAAGCTATTTAATATTTTGTATACAGTATCTCTCCCCAGTTACTTATCTATCGGGCATCTACTCCCACTGCTGTGCTGATATATGAGTCTTGCTGCTTTGTACCTGCATCTTCCCAGCCCCCACTGCTTTGATGTGTATGTTCTGTGAGAGCAACAAGCTGTGAAAACAGGGGCATTTCATAACAGCATCTTAATGCTAGACTTGTTAAATCTTGTGAATTAAAAACTGATCACATTTGTACTGCGTACATTACATATTTTGTTCTTTTAGTCTAAGATCAAAAGAGGGAATATTGCAGGGGATAAAAAGGTAATCTATCCAAAAAACAGCCCTATGTTGTGCACTCATTGATTGATTTACACATGCTTCCCCCCTTCTGCTTTTGCACAGGTCCCATCACTTCAATTTCAATGATGCAGCCACAGCCATCACAATGATGACTGGCCAGCACTTAAATGGAGAGACATGTAAACACTGGACTTTAGTGAGAATACATACACCTTGAATCTAAATAAGCAAGATGGCTTTTTGCCTCTGCTTCCTCTAATATTACATAAATCTAATCCAGCTAAATTTCCTTTTTTGAACTTACCATTACTTGTATCTCTAGTAGTCTGTGTATGTTCTCCTTTGACCTTCTAGTTGCCAAAGTTGAGACTTGAGACTAGTTCTTAATTTATCCTTTGAACAACAGTCAAATTAATAATAGCTCAAATTTGCTACTATTTTATTATTTACTCAGCATGACGATTCCAAATCTATTTGAAACACACATACATTTCACTTGTGCTTAATATTTTTTTTATACACACTGACCATCACCTGAACATCTTACTTTTCCTTCACCTCTGAATTTTTTAATCCAATTTGTCCTCCTTTTGCCTTTTTTTGTTTACTTCCTCTTATATACATCTTTCCTAATTTATTCTCCTTCTATCCTTCTCCATTTCTGCTCTCTCTCTTTCCTAATCTTTGTTTTCTGTTGCTCTCTCTACCTCATCATAACATCCACATCCACCCTCTCCTCCACCTCCTCCACCTGCTCCTCTCTCGCCTTTCCTAAATAACAACTTATGCAGCATTTGCTTTTCCAGGGGAGGTAAATAGAAGTGGGGAGCAGGGAAGAGGTTTGTGTGTTGTTTGTGTATGTTGGCGAGAGAGAGAAGTTTGTGTTGCAGAAGAGTTAGGATGACTATGTGTGAGAGACAGTGACAGAGATGAGAAAGGAAGAGTGAGCTAGTGTGATCAGTGTGAAGTTGTTGTTTATGTGAAAGTAACCCAGCAGATGTTAGAGACATGGTGCTTCTCATTACAACACCTCATGCCCCACCTCAAGATTCTCTTCTGCACTATCCCCTCTCTGTTACTTGCTCTCTCTCTCTGGTAACTAGGGATTTAGCAAAAAGGCGCAAAAAGCATTCTGAAAAGATGCATTTACCACTATCCCCTTAGGTAAAAGCTGAAAAGGTGGGTGTTAGACCAGACCTGATACTAAACAAACACTTTTCAAAATGTGGAGCAGTTCTGTGTTATATTACCAGTATTGTTAGTACAAACAAATTGAGCAGATGACAGAAAGGAGGTGATAAAGATTTATTAATGATATAACTTGACATTAATGGCTGTGTGTTTCTAACCTTAGGTGTCCAGCTTATTTGCTCGTGATGAGATCGACGAGATCCTCAGTGATCTCATCCCTGTTATGAAGCGGGAGTTTCCCAGGCGACCTCCAACCAATGAAAACCTGTATGACTACTTCATGTCACGAGTTCGACATAATCTCCATGTTGTTCTGTGTTTCTCGCCTGTCGGGGAAAAGTTCCGCAACCGGTCATTAAAATTTCCAGCATTGATATCTGGTTGCACCATGGACTGGTTCAGCCGGTGGCCAAAAGATGCTCTTGTTGCAGGTACATTTCACAGACAATGTAAATTAATATGATCTAATGGTAGCATTTGTTTCCCAATATGTATATATCCATGTACTCTATCGTCCATTTAGTGAGTGTGGTTGTTGTTTGTTAGTGCTGTAAAAACTTTGTGGCCTTGAAGTGCAAATCACAAAAACAAAAATCCCAGCAGCATTACTACAGTTGCTTATCATTTGTCTATTATTAATGTCTGTTATTAATCTTATAGATGTTGCCTCAGAGTATTGTTCATAAATGCCTTCAACTACACTATATAGATCGTAATTAGATTTTCAGTTATATTATATCTGCATAGCTCATTTTGCCCCGAAAAGCAATTTCTTGCACGTCTGGTAGCATGTCAGTTTGAAGATTAACTGTGGAAATGTCAATATTTTCCATTATCCCCTGTTCTTCTCTTTTGTTTCCGAATGTCCATCCCATATTTTGATGAATAAGTTGGAAGAATGACACAGATGCTGTAGTAATATATGTAACCAGTAATCCATAATGTCCCATGCAATTACACAGCCATTTCTGCTTAGAAAATAATCAATTACAATGTCTCTGTCAGAGTATTGAACAGTGAAGAAGCTTAAATGAATTTATGTCTACAATTGCCAGTCTGGTTTCTGTAATCAATTTCCACTCTCCACTATTTTTCTCCACTTAATTCTGCTCTCTTTCATTCTTTCTTCATTCTTTCTCCTCCATCTTTCTGGCCTTCAGTGTCAGAGCATTTCCTGTCAGTCTATGACATCGACTGCTCACCCCAGGTTAAAAGTGAAGTAGTCCAGTGCATGGGGTCCTTTCAGGATGGTGTGGCAGAGAAGTGTGTGGACTACTTCCAGAGGTACAACAATTTATTAAGACTGCCTCTCTGTGTCTACTTAGGCAGCAATACAGCCTTAAACAAAATCTAAATGTTATTCTAGTTATGTTGGACAGTTTAATAAACAAAACTGATGGCATTACTGTTTGTGGTCAGTGGCCTAACCACTGCGCCACCAGGGTGGGCCAGAATGTTTCTTAGCAGTAAATATAGTATGGTATAAATATAGCAGTAATTTTAGGCCCTCATGTAAATCAGAGTTGGAAAGTATTTCAGCACAAAAGTAATATTAAGAATGAGTAAGGTTAAAACATTGTGCAAAGGATTCTCCTACTTTTCTTTTTCTAATTTGACATGAACGTAACCTAATGTAATCTAATTTGAATCTAGATACCGACGGTCCACCCACGTCACACCAAAGTCCTACCTGTCCTTCATTCAGGGTTACAAGACCATCTATAAGGAGAAGAGGTCTGAAGTCCATACCCTGGCTAAGAGGTAAACAGAAGTTCAATATTTGCTATACTTGTTAACATATACTTTAACTCCTTATAGCCTCTGTAGAATTTAAGTTGATTCCACTTTAGAGTCAGTACTTCAACTGCATAACTGCATATTTTCTGCATCTCTTACAATTAGTTAGGCTTGTGTGGCCAGTCCAGAACCATCAGTTATGAGTCTTTTGTTTTTTAGAATACAGTATAAACCACAGCAATAAATCACACATCTCAGAACACCAACATTTCCGTGCTCCTTTTTTCGAGAGTTTGAGCTTATGTCTGCTTATCAGCTGTCCCCATGCCTCCAAAGATTTATTGGCACCTGGGATATCATGTCATTTAGAATTTTGATCAGGCGCATACTACAAGCCCACTGTGGAAAATATGTTAGATAATATGCAAGTGTTTTCACCACCTGGTGCCCAGTGGACCAAAGATTGTGTCATGTCATGTTGTTCATCTTGAAAGTTTGTAGATATTGAGAACAAACAGGACCCCAGCTGTAGATGTTCAGATATTTTAGCCCACATTAGCAAGGTGCAAGATACTTGTTGGAATTGCATGTGACTTATGTTTAATATTTCTCCTGTTTAGGATGAACACTGGTCTCCAAAAGTTGAAGGAGGCATCAGAATCTGTAGCAGCACTCAGCAAGGAGCTGGAAGTGAAAGAGAAGGAGCTACAGGTTGCCAATGACAAGGCTGATATGGTAGGTTTCAGGCAGGAGAGTGTGTTTCTGTGTGTGTGTGTGTTGTGGTGTGTTGTGTTGTGGTGTGGTGGTGGGTTGGTGTGTGTGTGTGTGTGTGTGTGTCATTAGGTTCAGGGAGTGTCTCTGAAGATACATACTTTTTACTACAGTTGGCTTTTTTAGTTTGCTTAAAATTTCACAGACCTTTTTCTTTTTTACACAATATTTTTAATTAAATTTTAGGAATTTTAAACACCTTGAATACAGACTTTTACATTAATACATTTATTACAACATCAGATTGCTGCATTTACTACTTTATTATACAATTATACAGTACATTCAGTATACTACAGTTAACAAAATGAACATGTGGTTACCAGTTGTTTTTGTTTTGTTGATGTTAAAGAAGGGATAAAAGCTGAGTTTGCATTGATTCATGGCCATGTTTATTTTTTGTCTATACACCCAGGTATTGAAAGAGGTGACCGTAAAAGCCCAGGCTGCAGAGCGAGTGAAGGTTGAGGTGCAGAAAGTGAAGGACAAGGCCCAGGCCATTGTAGACAGCATCTCAGCTGACAAGGCCATCGCTGAAGAGAAACTTGAAGCTGCTCGGCCAGCTCTTCAGGAAGCAGAGGCTGCACTGCAGGTGAGTCCAAGCTTGTGTTTCCGGTCTGCAGTGGTCAGTACCTTTCAAAAGTGGTCCAAAGAAGGAGAAGGAGAAGGGGTAAACTGGCAACAGGGTCATGGGCACCCAAGGCTAACTGAAGATCATGGGGAGTGAAGGCTGGCCCTTGTGGTGCGATCCAACAGACGAGCTACTGTATCCGAAATTGCTGAAAAGTTAATGCTGGTTCTGATAGAAAGGTGTCAACAACACAAACAGTGCATCACAGATTGTTGGTATGGGGCTGCGTAGCCACAGACCAGTCCAGGTGGTTATAATGTTATGGCATAAATATATATATGAACACAATCGTGTGTGTGTGTGTGTGTGTGTGTGTGTGTGAGAATAGTGTACAATATCTTCTACTGAGAGTTCCATTCAAGTCTACTGTATAATGCAGTGCTGCTCTAAAAGATAGCCTGAGGGTTAAAAATTGGCGGTAAACTGTGTGTTGGAGCAGTTTATTGCCCTCCTCTCTCCTCTGTGTTGCTTAATGTCTCCCCTACCAATATTTTTCTTGCTCCCTCACTTTGTGTTGCTTCAGGGTGCCACTTAGAGCACTCTGACTTGCTGTGTGCAGCTCCATGCCAGTTTTGCCTACAGCCATCCCACCGCGGTATGTCTAAACTTAGCATGATGCTCTGGGGCCTGGAGCTGCATTGTAATTAAAGCTGTCCTCCTGGGTAGTTGGTTGCATACAGATCTCCTATGGCAGGTTCCTGATTAGAAATGTCATCTTGCTGCTGTGGATCGAAACCATATATATCCAAACAGAAAAACCCTTGGGAAATCCATTTGGATTGATGATCATGCATTTTGATAAAGTATTTTTCGAGTGCTGTTGTTTCATTATAAGTTCATAAACAGTAGGAAATATATTTCATTCATTGACTTTATGAAAACATTATCTGGTTTACATACTGTAGGCCGAGTATTGACTATACCAGGTAAAATATTGCTAGAATAGCTATGCCATGGCATAGTTAACTGAAAGGTTTAAAATGAAAAGATTAATGCTGTTGCATGACATACAGTAGTGCAACATGTAAAAGTCAAAGGTAGGAATCTAGAAATTAGCAATTTGATGAGCAATTTACTTAAAGCATTCTAGTTTCACCAGTGACCTTCATACAAAACAACATGCACAAAACTGATTTACTGCAAGAAGACCCACAATCATGCAAATATATATATTTTTTTAGTTTTAAAGTACCTCTGATCTTGTTAAGCTAAATTGAAATTGTGAGGCTTATTGAGACATTTTCATGAAAAGCAGTGGAGAGGAGAGGAGTTTGTGAAAGTGGAAGTAGAAGATAAACCGGACTGTCTGCTGGCAAGTCTCTGGTGGGAGATTCACACTACACTTGGGGTGATAAAAGAGAGTGGAAATAGAGCAGGGAAGGAAAGAGCAGAAATGAGGAAATGGAGCAGGGAGGGAGGAGCAGAAACGAGAAAAGTGCAAAAAGGAGAGGAGATGAGACGAGCAGGCAGGGGGCCTGATGAAGCACCAGACAACTCTTACTGGTACATTTTCTTTACTCTCCTGTTGTCTCTCATTTTAATCAGCCCCATGAAGTAATTCTCCATCCCTCTTTGCAGAATTCCTCTCATTCTGTTGGAGTTTATACTTAAAGTCTTAATGCTTCTTTTATTCCCCTCTATCTCTCCTTTTCAGTGCTTCTGGTTGGATTTTCTTTATACTCTTCCTCTGCTTTAAATTGTCAATTATCATTATATGTCAAGTCATAAAAAGATAGAGGCACTAGACTAATATTAACCCATGTTGTCCTTATGCTCAATTCACAAAAGCTATTTAATATCATTAAACATTCAGACACAGTCCAAATTATTGTATCTTACATTTCTTTTCTCTGTACCCACTCAGACAATCAAGCCATCGGACATTGCCACTGTACGCACACTTGGTCGCCCCCCCCACCTCATCATGCGGATCATGGACTGCGTACTGCTGCTCTTCCAGAGGCGTGTCAACACAGTGAAGATTGACCCAGAGAAGAACTGCAATACGCCGTCCTGGCAGGAGTCCCTAAAACTCATGACAGCTGGAAACTTCCTGGGCAGCCTGCAGGTACATTCCCTAATAATAAATGTATACACCTGAGATTGAAGTAAGGCATAGATGCTACATAAGGCTTGCTCACATATGCCTTGGGGGATATCCTTGGTAGCCTTCAGAATTATTTACCATATGAAACATGAAAAAAAGGTAATATCATTGTACATGCATTACGGAAGGACCACCATCAGCTCCACATCACATATGAAGGCTTATTCCCCGCAATTTCATAGGAATTATAAATTATAGTCTCATTATAGTCTCTTCTGTTGTAAAATCAAATCAGAAAACATAAGATTATACCATTATGTTGGTGGGTATTCCACAAAATAGCATTCCTGCAGGAAAAAGGTAATTATAGACTCTTCAATAATATCTTAGTGTCTGTGTGTATGCAGCAGAATCACTGCCCTTTTTAACCTACCTTGTTGTTATTTGTTATATTCATCTTTTTGCTTCCTTGATTCTTTCTGTCCATCTTTCTTTTTCTCTTGAACAATATTTTCTTTCTTTGTTGTTGTTTTCTTCTTAGATTTATCTGTCCCTCATTTCTGCATCTGAGCTGCTCTGCCTTGTCTCTTTCCTCTCTTTCTCTTCACACTCTTCCACCGTCTCCCATCCCACCTGTATTTCCTTTTCTCCTATTTCCTCTGCTCTGCTCTTTGTCTTTGTTTTTTTTTCAATCACCACAGCTCCACATCATTTTTCTTCTTCTTTTTCTCTAATTTCATATAGTTGTACATTCTTTGTTTTTAAGTAACATATGCAGAATCCTGTTTTATGAGTAACATCTGTGCTAAACATTTATATTCTTTGCATAATGACTGAAATAAGCTTTCAAATGATCCCTTCTCACTCCCCCCTCCCTTCCACTTTTTAATTCCCCCCCCCCTCTCTCTCTCTCTGCCTCCCCTGCAGCAATTCCCCAAAGACACCATTAATGAGGAAATGGTGGAGCTGCTGCAGCCTTATTTTGACATGCCCGACTACAACATTGAAACAGCCAAGAGGGTGTGTGGCAATGTGGCCGGCCTTGCATCATGGACAAAAGCTATGGCCTCCTTCTTCTCCATCAACAAGGAGGTCTTACCCTTGAAGGTAACATAGAGTGTAGTTGATCTGTAGTTGAGTAGACTCATTGACAATTTCAGTTGTCACATCTCAACTTAAATTACCCCTTATAAACACACACACACACTGTGATTCACCTGTCATCATCAGCCCAACAAACATATGTACAGCAGCCCTCACACACACACACACAC